TTCATTATTATTATTGTTATTTCGTTTTTTTTACCTTGAGTATTACATTCTCTCCCGCTTAAAAGAATTTCGTCCTCAAAATTTATATTACTTCACAAGTAACTTCTTTACCTGAATGATTTTTCTACAATACCAGGACTAATGGAATCATCTTGTTACCCAAAATTTATTGACTCTTCAACATAATTAAGAGTTTCCTTAAGTTCAATAAACTGCTCTCATCAATATACAAGGAGAATCAAACATAGAATCGACTATTAACTTGTAATCTCACTGCTCTCTATAGTTTCATATGACAAAATATATCTCATTTTTTTCAAATTTCTAGTACAGTACGCGTGAAACATAACGCCAAAAGTATGAATAGTATGTTCAGACTGTCCGTCAAATTGAGAACTATAAATTATACTAAATTTCAAAGTGTTATCCACAACATGTTGCAAATTAGGTCAACTCTGAAGGTAAATTTTAGACTTCTATCTATTATACTAGATAATGGTATTCCACATAATCATATAATCTCATCAATTAACTTTGAGTATACCTTCAAGTGAATATGTAAATTTAATTATTAAAACTAATTGGACTTTGTCAATCAATTCACAATGACCCAAATAGATTTATATCCAATCTGTATCCCGAAAGTTATTATAGAAATTTCATAATAATATACTACCATTTCCATTCAAAACTTGAAAAAAGTTGCAATAAACCTGTAAGATACTGATATTCAATCCCAATCTATCAATGCGTTATACCTTAACTACAAATTCAACAATTTCTATTTCCTTCCACTCAACTAATAATAGATTCTCAATATTAATATAATTTCGTACTCCTCGGATGAACATAAAACTATAGGTTGCATTTATAATGTCTCCCTTCTATGTATTCTCTTTTGGTACTCATAACTAATGCAAAAATATAAATATAATCTCAGCATAAATTACAAAATCTATCATGCTACCATGTTATACCTCATTTCGAATACTCTACATATGTCTTTTTATTTATCTATTTATTTATTTTTTTGGTAACTAACCGATATGATCTACCAAAAGATTCTAACTTGCAATTGAGCTAATAATACATATGCACCAATCAATATCACTTGTACTCCTATCAAAAAAATCAACAAAATTACTCATTCAAGTACACTATATACAACCCAAACTTTTTAATAATTTATTGCTCGGTGTATCAACCGTTATAGTAGTTTTGCATACATGATAATGATAAAATAATCATGGTCCCTAATATTTCCATCCATATTTTTTTTCTCAAATTAAACTCCTTCTCAATAAATGAATCTTTCAACCTTTAATAATCGAAATAAATCTTACATGTCTTACTTTATAAACAATCACTCCATAATCTCAAAACAAAAATAATTACATCTAACCCAAAATCATGAGTAAGATAATTTCTTTTTTACCACATGAATACACAGGTATAACACCAATGAATACAGTAACATTTGAATCTAGATAAAGTTGAAATTATCAATTTAGTCAATCCATCAAAACAGATATAACATTTGTCAGTTTCAATGACTTCACAAAAAATACAATATAATTATCTCAATTGCACATATTGTTTTTAGAACATCATCATTTCTTTCTTTTAAATAAAGATAACTCAACTTATTCAAGGCAACCAAGACTCGCATCACTTCACTTCTCGTTTAGGCTTACTTTTCACAACACTGAGTCAAGCAATTGGCCAAGACAATGCTGCAATCATAACACACATTAGCCATTGCGACCAATTCAACCTCTCTGTATCTGCAAATTTATTTAGGAACTCCACCATTACAACCTCAAGAACAATTGTTACTCCCACAATTCCCAGAAACAGTCTTTTTTCTCTTAAAATAATTTAATGTTATCATTGTACATAAAACATGAAAAAGTCAAATTAAATTAAATTTATCCTTGCATATAAAAGAAGGAAAAACCGAAAGAAAGAGTAGTTCATGGAGTCTTCGATAAAAAGTTTTTCATGGATATTATCACAATAATAAATGAAGAACAATATCTAAGTTCTTGATTTTAAGGACTTAATTATTATAATTTGTAATTTTGGGACCAAATTTAAATTTAAATAATTGATAATAATTTGTGGAAAAAATAAAATTTATTCAAAACAATTAAAAAAATAAATTCAGATGAGAACTCCCAATCTCGGGCACACCTCCTAAGGTTTATAGAAAAAGGGATTCCGACGGTTTTTTTTACTTCTCATTCTTTTTTTTAATAGTTATAGATGTTCGAAATAGTTTACACGTGTTTTAATTATTTTTTTTATTCGTTTAAAAATAAATTATTTATGTTGAAATTAAAATATTTATAAAAAATAAATTTTAATTCTAAAAAATTATCAAAATTAAAATTCTAAATATCTAAATTTAAAATTCGTCCATGACTTGATTGATCGCGCAGCGTTCATATTTGATATCCAAACTGCTCCCTGTGGACGGTCCTCTTCCATTCAGCAACATATTGCTTTGGTGGACCCTTTTTGCCATGTGTCATTCTAGTACACCAGCCGCCCTCGCTTTCTCTCTATGTCTCTCTCGCTCGTGTGTATGTGTGTGGATCGATGGTCTCTCCCCCAAAGCCTTCACCATCAGCTACCGAAATAATATTGTTCCTGATCTTGTTCTGGTAAGTCTTCATTGCATCCAATCCAATTTCTTGCGTGTTCATTCTGTTATTGTAACCACATAATTCTCTTGCTTGCCGATACACAGATACAACGCACTGCCGAAGCTTTATGAATGAAGGACGAGTAGTGGATGAGCTTCTCGTTGAAATCTTCAGCCATTACAAGACCCAAAAAGAGGTATTGTTTTTTAAAAATTTTTTTGTTAGCCTCAATGACTACTCTTAGATTTCCTTTTGGCTAGCTCAGATTGTAGCATGCTGTGAAATTGTACTTCAGTTTGGATTACCCCAGTTTGTTGCCCCCATTTCAGTGATTTGGTGTAACCTTATGATGAAGGTTCGTTTTGATTAAATGATGAGCAAGTAGTATAGGGAGGGATGGTTATGTATTTCGATTTAGAATCCGAAGTACTTTTTTTTTTTGTTTGGTTTATCACAAAGATTTATGATTTGAAGTGTGGCTATTGTTGGGTATAATGGATGGTTACTGTCGGTTGTGAGGGTCAAATAACATGTGAGGAGGTCCCGCGGTATATTATGATTCTGGTTTATGAGTTTTACCATGATTAGGTATATTATTTTTACTGCAATTAGATTTAGGTGATTGACTAGGATTTGAGGTTCTTAACTCGTTTTTATGAATAAGTTATAACCTATTGTAATTCTCATATAGCGAAAGCAGTCATTCCTGTGAACATAGGTAGAATTTTAGTTATTAGACAGCGTGAGCAGCTTGAGCTTGGATTGCGCTTGACTTGATTTTGGCTATTTAAATTGAAAATTGAACCTAATTTGACTAGATTTCTATACTCATTTAGACGCAAATCTAAATAGGACGTCGCTTTGCTCGAATTGGTTCCTGTCTATGAAAACTATAAATTTATCACCAAACAAATATGCTAAAGATAAACAATACCAAATTTATGCCCAAATATCTTCAGGCTATATACCCTTTTCTCTCCCACTCTTCCCAAATTGTTTTACAGTTATTATATCGATTTTCGGGATATTTGTTGAGAATTGAATATTTGTACGGTTAATTATTATGATCTAAAGCATTAGTTGTGGAGATTTTTGTGAAGTGATTGAGCTGGATTTCGGCTCAATGCTCATAGGTTTTTACCAAACAGAGCTTCAGCAACAATCAATACCCACAGGTTTCCTTGCCATTTGTTAATTTTTCCTTTGCCTATGACTATTGGATAGCAGGTGACAATCGAAGGAATTAAATCACAAGAGGAGTCTCCTAGCTATTTTCTTTGTGTGGAGTACCATAGTGATCTTTGAATTCCCGTGCATACCTCATATGTGACAGTTCCCAAAAATGTTAGTGTTGGACTTCACTTCTTGGCCGATCTTGACAATTCTTCTATATGATATGAGTCACTGGAAAATATTGCTGTTTATTTATTGCTTTTCTATACCGATATTGTATTTTGCAATCTTTTTGTCAGTCTGTGGGAGTCATAGCCAATCCATATATATGCATTTGTTGTCCTGGAGAATCGGCCCCCCACATGCTCAATCTCCTTAATCAAATGATTGTATGCATCATGACTGCAGTTTTTGAACTGTTCACCATCTTTTCCTTTTCAACTTCATGGAGAATGCCATAAAACAAATGTTTAAAGTATTTATTCAGGTTTTTGTCTTTTCTTGTTATCTGTTTTCTTTTTGAATTGACAATAAGCCCCCTGATTATACTCTTCCGTTTTAGATGAATTGTCAGTTCTTGACCACTATTGAAATCATCCATCTAGCTTAGGTTTGGATATAACTAAGTACTAGGTTCCAGAAGTATGGGTCTTGGTGTCTTTGTACGGAGTGTCATGTGTTTACTGATCATATTAGCAGTGTGCTGAACTTTTTGATGTCTTATTCTCGTCGCTTGATGAATACCAAGTAAATATCTCTGCTAATTTTGACGCCAATATTATATACATCAAACTAAAGATGAGAAAATTTTCAAATGCAACCAAGCAAGCTTGGGATGTAGTTTGTGGAAGGGTTTGGTAGGCTGTATAGGCTTGGAATATAGTCACCTGATTAGAAAGGTTTTGCACGTACATGTTCAAGCTTGGATATAGATCCTGCGGTTGGCTGGATCGGTGAACCACAGTAGTTTAAGAATTTTTTTGGTGTTTTTCTGAGTTTTTTTATTTTTCGAAATTATTGTGATTTTCTGACCTTTTTATGGGTTTGTAAAAGCGTCTTTGCAAAACACACTTTTACTCCCAATCCATCTCTCCTCGTAAGCTTTATCTTTCTCCCCTCTTTTGAATTTGTTATTCACAATCTTCAAATTCCAGATGAAGTTGAATTTGATGGGATTTCAATCTCTTTAGTGGGGGTATAAAATTTCTAAATAAGCTCAGGCGACAAAAATGATTATAGTTAAAAGTCTATGTGAAATTGATGATTTCTTAGGAAAGAAGAAAGTGGCACAATTTCAGGAACGATATACATCACTAAAAGTTTCTCTTTCTTTGAATAATATTACCAGTACGCATGCACAGTACTAGATTGATATTACCCTGTATCATTAATGCTGCGGAATGCGGAATGTTGGTTGGAATCTGCTTACATGTGGTTTCTATAGGGTACTAGTAAGTCTGCATGATGTCAAGTTTTATGGTCCACTCAATCATCCCTCAACTTCCTTTAACCCCAACCCCCAATAAAAAACCCAAAATAAAAAGGAACAGGGAAGTCCCTTGCCTCAGTGAAAAAGAAGAAACAAAAAAGAGAGAATAAGCTATTGAAAAAGCCTTATTAAGCTGTATTGATTTCATTCACATCACTATACGAAAAGAAGTAAACATGATACTCTGATATGTACTGCTGGAACCGAAAAAACATAGATGATCTCCCTGGTTGTTGGATAGGAGTTTGCAGATGATGAACTAATTGGGCAAGAGAAGCACCACAGTTCTTTCGCCTTCCATTTTCATATATTGTTTTCCTCCTTGCTCTCCTCAATGCAGAAGAGTTATATAAAATAGTTGCGATTCTTGTAACATCCTTCTCTACTTCAACCACACTATCTGTTGATGCCAGTAAAGTTCCAGAACACATACCCATCGAACTTATTTTCCAATCTGATGTAGAATTTCTGCACATGTAATATCCAACAATCTCCCCCTCCTGTGTGAATTACATCAGGCATCTCCCCATTGAGTTTGATCCACCACTCTCCACAAGCAACATGTCCAACCACTATTTACAAAAGTTCGCTTTTCCAAGAACCAAACTTTTACCTCTCTTTATGAGTCACTGCATTACCACTCTCTAAGAGCCATTGTGTCCAGGCCCATGCCTGCTCTTTTTATTGAGTTGAATTTCCAAGATTTCAATATCAAGAGCCCATCATTTTTCTTAAGAGTCACCATTGGTATCGGCACGCAATGCCGCTTCTTTGAGAGTTCTCCTGGGATCATCAGTCATTAGCTCTGATACCAATTTATTTGGAGATTGGGAGTCCAATCTTTAAGGCCTAATATACATGTCATACACAAAAGGACTTGAAGCGCTATTTAAATGGAATCCAACGAAACGCTATTTTATTTGACTCTACTCATGGTTGGCTTGTTGCCAACTATTTGAGGTGAACTATGGAATTGGAGGAAGTGACAAGGCTTCAAGATCCATACAAGTGATCTTTCAACATTAAATCCCAAGTGTCTGGATCATGTCATAGGGATTTGATTGAGCAAGAACTTGGATTTACTGTTGAATGATCACTGATGATGCACAAATTGAGTTTATGTGCCACCGGTCAAGTGATTAATAATTAATGTAGTAATAAAGTAGAAAGCTCCCGGTAGGGGGGCCCCAGTGGGGAGTTTCTTAACGCTCAGGGCGTGGAGCTCTTCTGGCTTAAGGTCTTCTGGGCTGTGCTCTTTCTTGTTGTCTAGTGAGCATTAGTTACAAAATCTACTGATTTTGAGCTATGAGCTGTTGCATTATCTCCAGCATTTGTTGTGCGTTTGGAACATGATTGGTTGGTGGAGGAGAAACCTCCTCCTCTCGTAGTGGATTGTCTTCAAACTGATTCATGGATCTGGTGGTGATCGTCATAGGTATGGCTAGAAAAGTGATTAGGTGAGAATTTTGTTGATTTTCTCACAGACGGCGCCAAACTAATGATGTAAAAATTTGGTTTATGCACCACCGGTCAAGTGATTAATAATTAATGTAGTAATAAAGTAGAAAGAGAAAATAATTCAAGCAAGATAATGATGTAGAGTGGTTCAGTCAACGTGACCTATGTCCATTTTGAAGGGTTCGGATGACCTGAGTATTTTATTAATTCGAGGAGTGTAGAGACAACAGGGAGATACAAGCTATAAGAGAGAGAGGAGAGTGATAACAGATGTGCTCGATTAAGTGTGATGCCCCTAAGTATTGGCGGGGCTTACAATTTATAAGTGTCTCCTAACAGATTGAGGTGGGTTATCAGTAACTAAATAGCTAATCTGGTGGAGTTGATGATATTTTCTCAACGGATGATGTAGTTATGGAGCTCCCCTTGAGATCAGGTCCAAGGATGATGTGATGGTTGACTTTTTTCAAGGCGGCGTGGATGAGGCTTTCAAGATGGCCCTGCCTCTTTTGACGACGTAGCTTCCAGAATCCTGATGAGCTTGATTGGGGCATGAGCCTCTTTTGGACTAGACCCACTGGATCTCTTCAAGTTGGGCTCTTAATTTAAACTGGGCTTATAACATGAGTTGGGCCATTGGACCTGGCCCATCAATCACTTGTCTGGATCTTGAAGCTTTGTCACTTCATCCAATCTGTAATGGTTTTGGCCTTCACCTTTCACAAAATTGGTTTCAAGGCTGGAGCGAGAGGGTTGTTCAGTAACTAGGCAGAGCTGGCCGAAGTGTTTTGTTTATCTGAATCTCAGTCTTTGCATGTAGCTGAGGAGTGGTTTGTTTCCTACAGGTACGAATTTGATGAGCCAAGCAATTGGCCAAGATAAAGCTGCAATCGCAACACACATTAGCCATTGTGACCAATTCAACCTCTCTGTATCTGCAAATTTCTTTAGGAACTCCACCATTACAATCTGAAGAACGATTGTTACTCCCACAATCCCTAGAAACAGTCTGTTTCTATGAATACCTGTGAATACATTCTTTTTCTCCAACTTCCTTGAGTTGAATTCATTGAAAACTTGGCAGAGTACAAAAATATTAAAGATTAGAGTATTTTTCACCTTATCAGTAACATTGAATATTGACCTACCCCTGAACTGTAAGGTCAAGAGGATGGCTATCTGGTATAGAGCTTGTGCCAAAAGGTTTCTCCACATAATGTTTGTTATGAGGGGTTCAGTTCGACCCACGGGTGGACGGTGCATTAGCTCATTAGTGGGACGCTCTGTAGCAAGTGCTAGAGCTCCTAAAGTATCCATGATGAGGTTTACCCACAACAACTGAACTGTTGTTAGGGGAACTTCACCGGCAGAAACCGCTGCAATAAAGTTTATTACAAGAGCTGCAACGTTCACAGTCAGTTGAAATTGAATGAATTTCTGGATATTGTTATAAACACATCGACCCCACCTCAAAACTGTGGCCACAGAGGCGAAATCATCGTCCAAGATGATGATATCAGAGCTCTCTTTGGCTACCTCAGTACCTTGAATTCCCATGGAAAGTCCTATATCAGCCTCTTTCAATGCAGGTGCATCATTCGTTCCATCTCCGGTTACTGCGACCACATGACCTTTCTGTTTCAAGCATTGCACCATCATAAGCTTGTCAAAGGGGGAGGATCTTGCCATCACACGGATATTATCAACCTTTTGCATTCTCTCTTCATGTGTGTAATTGCGGAACTCGGCACCTTCTATCACTTCTCCATCGTTCAGGTGTTGATCGGCTGTGAAAATTCCACACTCTCTGGCTATAGCTTTTGCTGTGAATACGTTGTCTCCAGTGATCATTTTGATCTCCACTCCTGCAGATCTACAAGCTTGAATGGCTCTCTTTGCCCCTGGTCTACATGGATCCTTGAGACCAACTATCCCTAGCAAGGTCAACCCATCTTCTTCTAGCTTTCGGTTTGTTTTGCCATCTTCATTGCATTGTGTTTCTTCCTCTAGAATCTGCTTATGAGCCAAAGCAATGCAACGGAGGCTACTTGCTGCCATTCCTTGGATTATATTCTCAAATTGTTGCCTTCCTTCTTCACTTATTGGCTTCATTTGTCCATTACTTTGATAGTAACTCGAACACCTTGCCAGTACCATCTCGGCTGCTCCTTTCCAGTGCACATGGATGGTGTTATTGGCTTTATTCCTCATGGAAACCCCGCTTCGTTTCTTCTCTGAATTGAAGGTCTCAACATGAAGAATGGTAGAATTTTGCTTCAATTTCTCAATATCCATACCGAGTTGCAGGACAGCCCAAGAAAGGATTGCCTTTTCAGTTGGACTTCCAGAAAACTCTGGTACAATTCCCGAAAGTGGTTTGCAAATGCTACCTGTAGTGTTTAGACCGACTCCTTGGTGGAGCAAGGCAATGATATCTTTGGCGATTGCTCTAGAGTAATGTTCTCCCATTTCTTCTTGGCCGAGCCAAAATTTGGTCACTTTCATTTGATTCATTGTCAGCGTGCCAGTTTTGTCGGTACAAATAACGGTGGCTGAGCCCATGGTCTCACAAGCTGAAAGCTTTCTGACCATTGCCTGATCAGCCATCATTCTCTTCATGGAGTATGCCAGTGTTAGCGTGACAGCCAACGGCAGACCTTCAGGAATTGCCACCACAACAATAGTGACTGCAGCAGCAACAATACGAAGAACAGAATTGAACACGTCATTGATTCCTGTGTTACTTCCATTGTACTCCTGATTCCCATACTCATCTTCTGTGTTTCCCGTGAAATAACGAATTAACATCACCACAAGAACCAGAAAAGCAACGGCAAGACCAATCTTTCCGATGGATGAGGTCAATTTGTCTAGCCGAGCTTGCAATGGCGTTCGTTCGTTGGAATCACGTGTTAATGAGCTCATCATCTCGCCCCATGCAGTGTTCATCCCCACGGATATCACGAGCATCCGAGCATACCCATTCCCCACCTTTGAACCTGATAACAAGAATGGGTTCTGCAGGGAGTCTACTTCCACATGTTCGCTCTCTCCTGTCATACTCGACTCGTCCACTTGGAAAGAATGGCCTTCTAAGAACAGGCCATCTGCAGGAATTTGATCTCCTATTGTCAGGAAGACCACATCTCCAACTACAATATCAAAGATGGAGATCTTTTGCCGCCTTCCATCTCTCACAGCATGAACTTTAATGTCGTTGCTAATTTTTGACAGTTTGTCGAATTGTCTCTCCTGTCTGTAGTTGCTAGCTGCAGAGACTACGACCACCAGAAAGACCGCCACAATTATACTTCCACCCTCGTACCATCCTTCTTCCAAGCCGTGCTCTTTAATGCCAAAGCCAAGTGAAAGAGCAGCACAGACCAGCAGTATGAGAATGATGGTGTCCTTGAAAGCCTCCAGCACAAAGTAAATGAGCCCTTTCGGGGGTGGCATCTGGTAAGTATTTGAACCAAATACACTATGTCTTTCGTTGATTTCATCATCATTTTCATGAATTCCATTCTCAGAGTCAGTTCTAAGAGCTTTGGCTAAGCCCTCGACACCTCCAAATCCACGAAGCTCGTCCAAAGTTTTGTCCTTCACCATCTTTGCTATCTTTGTTTTCTCAATGCCAGTAAAGTGAGCATCGTGCACAGTTTCATCGCCATCATGGTGGGAACTAATCATTGGTTCAATATTGACAACAGTATAAGAAGAGCAGCTTGGCGAAGCAGTAGCAACAATGTTATTTGATTTGGGCGTTACGGATTCACATTGCGGAAACAACCTTTTTGCTTGTGGAGGTAAGACTGTGGATATTTGACCCTTCTCAGACTCCTCAGTAACGGGAGTTTCGTGCACTGGACTACCCTTTTTATGAGAAGAAGAGCTTAATTTCTTCGACAAGTGGTGATAATTTTTCCTCTTTAAAAGAATCTCTGCAGGGAGAGACAACATGACTTGGGAGAAGTAGATAGCCATACACGCTATACGCCACCTCTTTTGGGCTTTGGTAAAGAAGGTGGTGGTAGTGGTGGTGTTAAGGAGGAGCGACTCTAGGGTGCCACCATAGGAGTATGAGTGGAGTTTGCTCGCCATTGTTCTTTAATGAACTCTTCTCTTTGAGAAATCAGGAAATATGATTTTGCTAGGAAAGAATTATCATTCTGTCACAGGACTGCTATCATATTTAAAGAATGATTGAGGCGGCAATGGAAGCTTTTGCTAGGAAGTTTCCCATCCTAGTATTATGAAATTACGCTATGGCGTGGAAGAGTGTTAACAAATTACCTTGGTAACATGTCTATAGCCTTAAAAATCGTACCCAACATACCAAACTCTTATCTATGGCAGGATTTAGAATAGATTAGTGATAAACAATCTAACTATCATTTTGCGAAGACTGATTCCCCTATTTAAACGCTAGAATGGTCTTTAGTTTTTTGTTTCTTTTATTACTAGTTTGTAATTGTGGGTAGCTTAGCTTATATCCAAAGATTTCTTGTTGAAGTTGGCAAAGGAATGGTCAGCCATTGAAGACTTTTCTCTGTTATCACCTAATCTTGTTTCCGAATAATCTGGGGAGGAAGTACCTTTCAGCCGACGTCTGGCTAAACTGTTTACATTATATGGTTGGTGGGCAAGAGAAATATGGAAAACTTTCCCTGAAAGCTTTTTAGTAAGAAATCGATTTCAATCTGAACGAGTATGAATATGTCTCAAATTGTTTTTACTCTTTTGTTGGATTGACATTGAAAATTCTTATCAATTTGAGATCCGGACGGTAAAGGTTGTGAAAACTCCAAATGGCAGAATCAGAATTGCAGTGGAATGAACAATGCTGTTGCTACTTTCCTTTTTTATAGGTTCATATGGTGAATTGAAAAAAAAGAAAAAGAAAAAGGACAGCTCCAAGGCAGCTCAAAGTAGTAATATGAACGGGCTGTAAATTTAAATGTCATGAATTTGAATATTGACGACTCTTTAATGTCAAGTTATGACAGATTTATTCTTTATAAATATGCTAGTCTTATGCCTTCAACCGGAGCAGAGAATTAATTGTATTTTGTGGAAACTAATCTGAATACTAATAATGGTTAAACAAAAAGGAGAAAGAGGACAGCTTGGGTTGTTTAACGTTTTAACGCATTATAGAGTGACACCTGCACCCTACTGGATGGCCGGTTGCTGGGCGGTGGTTGATTTTTTCTTTTTCAGTATATTATATACCAATGAGGAAAATGATAATCATATGAGTTCCGTATTCGCCGCCCCAATCAACCGACTTCTTATATTCGGAGCTTATGGGTTGTGGCATCGTTACAAACAGTAATTTTAGTTAGAATTGTTTTTTAAATCAGGTAAATTATATTGTGTTAAAATTTATTAACTTAATATTCGGCTCATTGATAATTGTGTGTTGAATTTGTATCATATATATGTTGTGTTTAATTAAATTTTTATGGACTTATTTATTTACCCATCTACTAATTTTTAATTTTTTTTTATTTGCCCATCTACTACGCCTTTCTAGATGTGCCTGCCCGCAGTCAAAACTCTATCACGTAGATGCAAACACTTCTCGAAGAGAAGAGAGTAGAACTTTGAATGCCGCTTTTGGAAATATATTGTTTGAGGGAATGACTATTGTATCGACGATTGTATTGTATCAAAAATTATAATTTCTTAATATATAAGTTATAACTTTTAAATAAATGATCGATCCTAAAACATTGCGATCGATCATAAAAGTTATAATTTTTAGAATTTAAGTTACAATTAGTTAAGAAAAGTTCATGATTGATCAAGGACTTTCCCTCAAATTTTGCTACAATATAAAAAAAAAATTCCGATAGTGTATACTTTCTCGTTGTTTGAACTCATAATCACCTGGAATATGCAAACTAATTATGCTTTATCCCCTAGAAGTCAAACAATTTTACAGTAATTTTTTGTTAGTTAGGGGGGCTCTTCTGTCGCTTTTTCGTTGTGTCTAGCTAAATATCCCGGGTTCTTGATTGAGTGAAAATGAAATGGAGAGTATTTCCAGTCTCTTTTCTCAAATCACCTCCTGCAAAACCCATTCTTACTCTAGTTGCTTCGCTTGCCCCAAAATCCATCCCTACAGTCCAATAAACCTCCTGGCTTGACCCACCAACCACCCTCCAAACCACAATTGAGATGGAATTGGTGTGTGCAAACCAGAAGGATAGACGAAGAGAGAAAAGAAGAATAAAAGGCGGCGATGTGTTTATCATTTTGACTCTTAACATGTCACGCTTGGGGCCCGTGGTGCTTTCATAAATACACCACTCACCGCCACTCGTCAAACGAAGCATATTACCACCAATCTGAAAAAAATTTAAAGTAATAATGTGAGATTGTTTCAATTTTGAGGGGAAAAAGTATGGGACTTGACTAGACAAAAAAATTTGGTACCATAATTTTAAAATTTATTATTTCAATAGGTGTTTTTATAATTTTTATAGATATTTTATCACTTTTATGAATGTTTTTATTACTATTGTTGGTGTTTTTATCGTTTTTTAAGTTTTATAACAGTGATAAAAATATTTGTAAATGTAATAAATAAAAGTATGATATCGATTTTGCCCTTTTTTTTCAGGACCATTGACAACTCCAAAAGTAGGACTAGTTGCAAACTTAAGAGACACACTTATGAATAATAATAAAAAAGGGAATAATTGCATTAGAGATCTCTAAAATATTAGGTTTGTTTTATTTTTTATTAATATTTTAATTGTATTATTTTAGTCTCTGAAATATTAAATATATTTTTAAATGGTCTAGATAACATTCAAATTACTAATAATTTTTTATTATAAATTTATCACGTAATACCTAAATATAGGTAAAAAAAAATAATTTTGATAATTCTTGACCAAATTTTTACTTAAATTTTAGTCAAAGAATTATTCAAATTTTAGTCAAGAGTTTCTCATATTACATATTTTTTGTTAAGAGCTACCAAAATTTTGGTTAAGAACTACCTATATTATTTTTAACCCATATTTAGTTATCATGTGATAAATTTATGATAAAAAATTATTAGTAATTTAAATATTGTCTACTTAAGGGATCACATAAAAATATATTCAATACTTTAACGATCAAAATGATATATGTAAGGGGTAGAAATCGCTACGGATCTCATCCCTCCACTTGAAGGATTCCGGCTGACCTGGCGGTACCGAGCCCCAGTAGCCTTTATCTCTCTTCGCCAATAGGACTCTTTCTTAAGGTAATCCCACATCGGAAGAGAGTCGTCTTCCCCCATTGCATATAAGCCCTTGCACTCAAAGGAGGAGGTACCCACTAGGCACCTGATCAGGTCGCTAGTGGGTACCTCCTCCTTTGAGTGCAAGAGCTTATATGCGAGGGGGGAAGACGACTCTCTTCCGACGTGGGATTGCCTTAAGAAAGGGTCCTATTGGCGAAGAGAGGCAAAGACTACTGGGGCTCGGTGCCGCCAGATCAACCGGAATCCTTCAAGTGGAGGGATGAGATTCGTAGCGATTTCTACCCTTTACAATATAATTAAAATATCAAAGATCAAGATAAAACAAAACGAAGGGGAACTTGCGTTCATCTTTAAAGATGGTGTGCCGCGCACGTTTTTTGACAAAAGACGACGTTCCGTATACGTTTTTTGACCAAATTGACGTTCCGTACACTTTTTTTGACCAAAAAGAAAAAGAAAAAGAAAAAGTTGACGTTCCGTAGTCATTGTAGAGTAAAATTAAAATTTTTTTCCTACTCCAGCTACATCATTCCAGACAAAAAGTAATAATTAGTGTTTAGTGATATATTTTGATTGAAATTTTTAAAAATATATTGAAAAGCATACCTAAATTGCTGTAGAATTTTTATTTTTTTATTTTACTCAAAAGTAAATATTCATGACCAGGGGCAGCCAAGGTCAAGCGAGGCAAAATTTTCATACGAGATTTTATTAATATTTTGTCAATTACTATATTTTATTTTTAATTATTATAATTTTTTATGTTTTAAAAAATTATTTATTATTTTTTAAAAAATTTAAAATATTGATCAAGTTTTTATACTCAAGTTTTAACAATAATTTTAGTAGATTGTAAATAAAATTTTAATACTCTTAGTGGATTGTAAATAAAATTTTATCAATTTAAGTTTTCAATCAGTAATTTAATAATAGAATATGTGAACAAAGAATAATTTTACGCTAAAATCATTCTTTACTCATGAGTAATGTGCTAAAAAAGAATCATTCTTTACTCATGAGTAATGTGCACGCATGAAGTATAAAACTTTAAAAACAAACAATTTAAGTATAAATTATTTGGATTGAAAATTTATATTAAGACAAAAAAAAAACCAATTTTATATATTTTCACCTCAAAAAAAAAATGAATATAAATTTTCTATGTGAGTGAGTGAAATACAACTATGAACGCACCCAAAATATTTAGAAAATTTTAAATCAAAGCTCACACGAATGAGTAATTTTAGACCTAAAAAAATTAGATATTAATTTGAACTATTAAAATTTGAGCCCTAAAAATTTGAATCATATCTAAAATACAAAAAAAAAAAAAAGGACTATTATATTAAAGTGATAATTTTATGAATGCCTCTAAAATTTGGGTTTAATCAAGTAGAGAGTAATTTTGGACCTAATAAATTAGATACTGATTTGAACTAATAAAATTTGGGTCCTAAAATTTTTAATTATATCTAAAATATAAAATAAAACAGAAAAAATTAGACCTACTATACTAAAGTGATATATATTGTGAGAGCCCTCTAAAATTTGGGGTCCTAGGCAAACAATTTAGTTGGCTAAAGATTGGGCCGACCCTGTTCATGACTCACTGTAATAATAGTGATTTATATCGAGTGAAATTGTTAAAAAAGAATGTTCCGATCAAATAAAAATTTGTTAAAAAAAACAATTTGAAAAGTATCTCACCAACTTACGATAAAATTATGGTAATTTCATAATTTTTAGTTGTAAATCTTGATATGATTTATTTATTCACATTAATTATAAAAACAATAAAAAAAATTAAATAAATTTAAACACGCAATTCAAAAGAAAA